AAAAAAAAAAAAAAAAAAAAAAAAAAAAAAAAAAATAGACAAGACAATCTATTGATAATAACAACCGGTAAATTTCTATTCTGATCACATAGAAGCTCTATTAATATTGTTACTGTTGTTGTAGATATCGCTGCTGTGGTTGCTGCTACGACTGCTTCTGTCATTCCGATTTCTGTAGCACCATCAGTGGTCTCGTCGTACTGCCGTTAACCGATGCAGCAGCATTGATATGAGAAGTTAGATGTTGCTCCAGTTCCTGTTGTGAAGAACAAAGCGTTTTACATACTGGGCACACGGTTCTCCACATCCATGACAGAGCATCTATAGATGTTGTCGTCGGTACTGCTGTACTTGTTGGAATCAATGGAAAAGGAAATGGAAATGTCGGAAACGAGCTGGATGCGCCGTGAAGGCCTTCTGGAAAAGAAGCTTGCAACGGATTCTCTATTGTATGATGAGCATTAGTTTCAAGATTTAGTGCCAGCGGTGACAGCAGTTCAGACGATGAACTATTCTCTGAAGTGAGCGGATCAAAAATCCGACGCCCACGACGAGAAGGATTTTGTTGCCACATGTGTGTTCCCATATGAACTTTTAAATTACCACGTGTGGTAAATGCACGACTACAGACTTCACACTTAAATGGCTTGTCACCTGCAAATAAAACATTTCTGCAGTAAACTGACCTTAACCAGTAGGCAACTGTTACGGTAAATAAAATATTAAATACACTTTCAAATGACTAACCTGTATGAGTTCTCATATGAATCTGAAGTGCAGAACTGCTGCTAAAATGTTTAAAGCAGACACCACACTGGTGCTTTGAAAGTACTGGTGCTTGTCGTGGTGGTGGAGGTTCCGTCTCAGCCCACATCTTTTGCATAGCAACTAATGGGTCAGATATACTTTCTGCACATCGTTTTTTCTCCGCCACTCCGGAACTTTCATTCGAGCTAGCCTTATCTTCCTCAACTGCTTCTGAATGCTTTTCTTCGTCTTCAGCCCTATAAAAGTAGATGTAAGTAAGTAAAATTCTTGCCCTACACATCAGTGACTAAAGATTTTAGCTCAAACCACAATACGTTTTCGTTAAAATAGGAAAAAACTACCTTCAGAAAAAACAACTTAAAAGAACCTTTCATTTTCCTCGGAAGATATTGCTTCATCACACGAGTCCTCATCGATATTTGACGAACATGGTCCGTGGAACATCAAACTTTCCTCTGTTTTCTCATCCTCATTATTTTCACCTTGTTCAACGCTACTTTTTGCGCAAATGCTATTTGTATTTAACCTGGAACTAAAACCCTAATTATCATTATTTACTCTATCGCCCAAATTTACCGACTGTCATTCTTATAAAATACCAAAATGAAACAAAAATAAGTTTGGAACTAACTTGGAAAAAGTATCGGATGATTTTCCCGCTGTATGCTTAGAAGCATCCGAAACTGGGCTCATGTTGCTAAAAGAAATGCCTCCAATTGTTGGATTTGATTTTTCATTGTTTTTTACACGGCTTTCGGTAACTGAATTCAGAATGCAACGTAAATTTAGTGGCATCTGAGAATGCTGCTCGCTTGAGTTGTCCAATTTTTTCTCAAAACCTGAAGAGTTAAATTGAAATAGCTTTTGAATGGGACTTATGGTCGCAGATCAGGCCACGTAAGACCTTGAAGTTGAGCTATAAGGTCACCTTCACTTTTGATAGTACTGAAGCTTGAGACAAGCGGTAAGCCGTTTGAAAGCGTCCCTTCAGTTTTGTTTGGTGCGGTTGTGGGTGCTGAAACTCGCTGAGGTGAATGTGGCGAACTTGTAATATTTGAGGTCATTGGACCTCCCAAGCCTTGAGGAAGATTCAGCGGAAAAAACGGAAATGGAGGGGCAAATCCTGAGATTAAAGGTGGTGCACCACGACACTGCCCTCCAACAGAGGCTAGCGAGTTCCTGTAAAATAATCAGCTATATAATACAAATATGGCCATCGAGCCCTAGCGACAAGGCTAGAAAAAACTGCTCAAAATCAAAAAGTTTGACACTCACTTATTTGGTAAATCACCAATATTTGCGAGGCTCCCTTGTTCTGGACGTCTCTCAAATGCATTAAGCGAATTGTCAAAAGGCGCCAAAAAATTATTTCTAAAAATATTAAGCGAGTTACCAGAATCCTCTGCCTTATAAAAGCGAATAAGCAAGAAATTTTAGCCAAAATCTTCTAGAAAAAAACTGACCTGCTCAATTCGGAAGTATGCTGCGCTACGTGGTTCTGTAACAGGTGTGTTGTGAAGAAACGTTTAGGACATATGGGGCACTGCTGCTGCACGCTTGATGCTGTAATACCTCGAAACGAATGCTTTGCCCGATGCACTCCCATATGAGTTTTCAAATTGCCCTTAGTGGTGAACGCACGTTGACAGATTTTGCATTTGAACGGTCTTTCACCTGAAATAATAAAATGAAAGTTTTAATTAAAATTAATTTATTTCGCCCGAAACCAGTTTCTGTAATATAATTGGCTTTACAGACAACAACATCTCAAAACTACTTGCGGACCTGTGTGTGTCCTATAATGCATTTGAAGAGCGCTTTTACAAGAAAGCACCCTACGGCAGAGGATACACTGGTTGGGATCAGTGGTAGGCATTACTTTATCCCCAACTAAGGCCCTTATTTTCTCAGCTTCATCAGTAGTTGTTACTTCCATTAATGCTTCCCAGTCATCGTCGTTATTCAGGACGGATGCGGCAGTTGAGGCATGACCTAAGAACGGCGCACGAGGTGGATTCTGTTGACCACATAAACCAAAATTGAATGATCCACGAAACACTGAAACTAACCATCTGTCCAACCTCTTCAAAAATGCAACTAATGAATATATCAAAAAATATAATAAACTGATTGAAAAATTAGAAAAACGATCACCACGCACATGGATTTGCCGCTATTGGTGGTAATGGTAAAAACTGCGGTTTTGCTGCTGCAGCTGCCGCTGAAGATAAATCTAACGCAGCATTCTTAGAGGGTAAAGATGGCGATGTTGGAATTGATGCGGCATTAAGCAGTTGAGAAAAGAGCATCCGAGGAAACAAGCTGCTTTCCGACGACAGCGCTGTGTTTACAGCGCTCAGCGACGGACTCGGACTTTTGCTGAGCACAGTAAAAGGAGGTATACTTGCTGGAACAGAAGCTCGATCAGCATCTGGAGACTGACTTCGCAAAAGGGCTCCAGTTGAAGAAGGCCTCGGTAAGACACCACACTGATGGCCACGAATCTGAACAATAAACTGGTAATTAGCAGTAAAAACCAAAATCTTTTTTTACTATGATATTTCTACAGTAACTTTACCTTCAAACTATTATATCGTGTAGTCCATATAAAAATTGAAAAATTTTTTCACTAACTTCAGAGAGGACCAAAACAGGGAGACTAATTGAAACTGAACAATCGCACGCAACAGAATGACTGTTCAAATTACCCTGATAATTTAAAATTAAAGATAAACCTGATCAACGTCGGAAAACTTCTCTTCGCATGTTTTGCATTTCAGAAGCTTTTCATGAGGATGCCTTTTTAAAACATGTAAAAATAACGTGCCACGCGACGAAAAAGCCTAAAGCCGATAGCGGTAAACGTTGTAGGACAATAAGGTGTTAATCAAATTAGCAGTGCCCGGAGTGTTACTGGTTAGAAAAGTTGATCAGGTTATCATTTTTAATACTGATGTTCTTTAGGAGGAACATTTCCACCACCAAACACTGAGGTAAATACTACAGTAAACTCAACCACTCTGAGATGCCGCCTGACAACAAAATTGACAAAATAAACTCAAATAAACCTGTATGCAACTATCGGCGGCACATGGATATACCTTATCCATAGAACCATTGCTCGATGGCGGTGACAGCAGATACGACGAATTGGCCCGTCCATCGTCGCTGCTTTGTTCCGAATCCGTCTTGAATCCCTGCGAAGCCGCCATTTGGTTATACAGCTCAATCAACTGCTGAAATTATCGGCCGCTAAAGATAACAAAAAGATCTTTCAATTCTGACTCTCAGTCTCTTTGAAAATTATCGATAACAGATTAGTAAAAGACGAAGAAAATACTTTTAACTGTAACTGTCATACTGTCATTAAAAAAAACAAAGAATCAAAGCGCCTAATTTTCAATGTCCAATTTGACAACACCTTTACATTTATCTACACTCAAATTATCAATTTTTTCATTCATCCCTGATGAAAGCGTGACATTAAATAAGCATTTTAAAATGAGACTAGAAATGTTTGCTCAAACTAAATTTTCTATACAAAAAGAACTATACTTGTTGATGCCGTTGTAAAATTTCTGATGGCTCAAACAGTAAACTGGATTTATCTTCAAAAATATTTTTCCTGTCACCAGTTTCAGTTTCGCTCTTTTTTGATAAATCCATGGGAGCTGGTTCGTTATCAGACGACAGCGGTGTTATGGATTTCTGGAA